TCTCTCTCTCTCTCTCTCTCTCTCTCTCTCTCTCTCTCTCTCTCTCTCTCTCTCTCTCTCTCTCTAAGCTTCTGATTTCAAACAACAGAGCGGATTCTTCTCTAGTCAATGGGTTGGAAGCTTAACCCTGACACAACTCTAAAGCTCTTTCTCTTTCTTGACAGTTATAAAAACCTTGCCAGTGCAATTCTTGGTGAGACACTCATCTTAAATCTGACCCATATGAAAACACACTACTCCTGCTTTTAACAACAGGCAACACTGAACAACCTTTGACTTTTCCCTCCAGAATAGATGGTCTTTACTTGTCATGCTCAGGAGCATATTGGAGCTACAGGTATTTACACCATAAATACTTAATACTTGAATATACAGAAACTTACACACACACACTCACGGTGCATGCATGACGCATGACTCCATTTCAGAATATACTTCAAATGTATACAAGACAAAATATCAAGTAAATACAATGCACTTTCTCATGAATGTCAAACTCATACTTTGGTCAAGCAATTAGGATAATAATGTCATTTTCATAATTCTACACAACAACAAAATACAATTTAAGGCAAAAGTAACTATCAGTCACGTTAAACAACAAAGTAAAAAAAAAATCTGTACACAGTATTTCATCATAGAAAAATATGTGAGTTGCACAGAGCGGTCAGATCTTTTCCTAACCCACCATAGTACAGTAGATATGATGACATGATATCTCATATCAATAGACATACCCCTTCATTAGTCCCAACGACCCTCACAGTTCAAGATGTAGCTTTCCTAAAATGGATGCTAGCTAGAACATTCTGAATGATGTTATTTCACCTGACAAGAAAGTTAGGGTCTTTTGCAAGATATAACGTTAATAGGACTTATTCTCTTCCAATTGTCAGTTCCATGTCTTAGACTTTTGACCATAACAATATTAAATCATTTGTTTCATCATTCCTCATGGTAGGTCGTGATTACTACTCTGATGTCTGTGTCTATATCATCACAACCCTGTAAAGAATTTCGGTCAATTCAGTATAACAATTCCCTCAAACAGCTTTACAAAGCATATCATACTCAGTCCATCCATACAAGCCCAGGAACCCGACAGAGAAGGAGTAAAACACGTAGTTCAACATCTGGGGTCAGATATAAGATCACAACAACAGCAAGCAAATCCCGCTATTGTATCTGAGCCACCAGGAGTAACAGCATTCCACAGGCATTGTCACAGTCTGCAGTGAGTTTGCTGAGATACAACACAACCTTTAGGATTGAGAACTACAGGACACCAAGCACCGCGGTATACTGTAGTACTTGGAGAGTGCAAGTCAGAGCAACCTCGAGCTGTCCACTCTGTCATCAGTTCAGTGGCCATGGACCCCCTACCAGGCTGCTGTCTGAAGCCGTGTTCTGCCTCACTGACTGACTGAATGAGAGAGGGAGAGATGGATGGATGGCTATAGGGCTGAGGCTGGAGTGGGGTTAGGTCAGGTCAGCCAGGCTGAGGAACATAAGGTTAATGGCCCCAGCGTGAAGCAGCCAGAGGCCCCACAGCGCTCCTGGGGACAGAGACCATAGAGAAGGACAAGATGTCTGTCCTATTTACATAGAGGATAATTGCAGGAGTCTGTCAGTGCAGCTCTGCCACCTGTCAACACACCAGGTCAATAAACACACTGTCTGGAACAGCTCCTGATGGTATATTGCTTGGGCTAGAAAGTTCCTCCATAGGTTTCAACAGGATCTCCTCTGTTACTATTCCCAGTGGGGGACGAGAGGGAGTCTTCTAGCATTCGACTGTGGTCTCGTCTGTGTGTTGATCTCCTGTTTTGCAGCAAGTGTTTCTGCACCATGATACAAATGACCAAAGTGTCTCTCTCTCTGCTTGACAAAATATAACACATTGTTTCAATAGCACTGCGACTGAAAAAACTTTTGCCACATTATACGTAATTTGAGCTTGAGAGGCAGCATTTGGGTGAATCCATGGCTGTTTCAAGCATTAGGCGAAAGCTTGAGGAATATTAGACATTATCTATTGAGTCCTGGGAGTGGAGAAGGTCTGCTGTTGAAGAAGTGTAGAGGGCCAAGCAGGAGGTTAACATAACTAATACCAGCAGAAGATCCAATATAGGTGACAACACTGCCAAAAGAAAGAAAGATTCAGTTAGTATAGTTCGAATTCCAATCAAAGCCCAAAGCCATATATAAGTGAACAGTGAATTCTCCTATACACCTGTATATTACCATTACCAACAAAAGCAAACTAGATTAGTTGCTACAGGCCCAGTGACAAAGCACCTATGCTCCAATCTCCATAATTGCGAAACAGTATTCCCAAATTTAGAAATGAGTGGATTTCGTGCTTGACTGGACACTCCAGTTGTAGCTCATCAGGCCCTCTATGCGGCTCTGTTAAATCGGAAAATAGGAGGCAAGTGGGCTTTGAAAATAAAGGAGCTGCTCATAATGATAGCACATCTACCTCAGGTTCCTGCATGAATATTTATGAGGCAGTATACAGACTGATCTCTGCTTTCTCTCTGTTTCTCTCTGTCTGCTCTCCCCCTCTCTCTATTTCTCCCTGTCTGCTTTCTTTCTCCATCCCTCTCTATCTTTCATCTCTCTCCATGTTTCACTTTCTCAGTCTAATCTCTATCTCCCTCTCTCTCCCTCTCTCTCCATCTCTCTCTCCTCTTCCTCTCCCTCTCTCTCCATCTCTCTCTCCTCTTCCTCTCCCTCTCTCTCCATCTCTCTCTCCTCTTCCTCTCCCTCTCTCTCCATCTCTCTCTCCTCTTCCTCTCCCTCTCTCTCCATCTCTCTCTCCTCTTCCTCTCCCTCTCTCTCCATCTCTCTCTCCTCTTCCTCTCTCTCCTCTTCCTCTCCCTCTCTGCCCCTCTCTCCTCCTCTCAGACAGTAAAGCTGTTATTATTATTCTGTATAAATCATAATGCCTGCAGCTCCTACTTCAGCTGTGATGTGTATCACACCACAAAACATAACAAAATCAAGGTGAACATTTATTGACTGCACCAGAGTACAATACGAGCAAAGCAAATCAATCTGTGTTGGAGTCTAAGCTTTACAAAGCCTTGTGTTCTCAAAGGCTTAGAACACAATGCTGAAGAGCCAAAGGTGAATGTCTACATTTTTCCAAATGAATCATTTATTCACATTACATAATTGCCAATATGCTGCAGGAAAGGCTACAAAAAATGCACAATGGAAGAGGGAACAATATATTTTCACAGCCTCAAGTACGACAACTCAGAAACAGGTTCTGGGGGGATATTTTTCAGTTTATTGCTATTATAGAGAGACAAGTATGATCATATTCAGTGCATCCAAAAGTATTCAGACCCCTTGACTTTTTCCACATTTTTTTTTTTATATCCTCATCAATCTACACACAATACCCCATAATGACAAAGCGAAAACAGGTTTTAATAGTTTTTTGCAAACGTATTACAAATAAAAAACAGAAATACCTTATTTACATAAGTATTCAGACCCTTTGCTATGAGACTCAAAATTTAGCACAGGTATATCCTGTTTCCATTGATCATCCTTGAGATGTTTCTACAACTTGATTGGAGTCCACCTGTGGTAAATTCAATTGATTGGACATTATTTGGAAAGGCACACACCTGTCTATATAAAGTCCCACAGTTGACAGTGCATGTCAGAGCAGAAACCAAGACATGAGGTCGAAGGAATTGTCCGTAGAGCTCCGAGACAGGATTGTGTCGAGGTACAGATCTGGGGAAGGGTACCAAAACATTTCTGCAGCATTGAAGGTCCCGAAGATCACAGTGGCCTCCATCATTGTTAAATGGAAGAAGTTTGGAACCAGCAACACTCTTCCTAGAGCTGGCTGCCCGGCCAAACTGAGCAATCGGGGGAGAAGGGCCTTGGTCAGGGAGGTGACCAAGAACCCGATGGTCACTCTGACAGAGCTCTAGTGTTCCTCTGTGGAGTTGGGAGAACCTTCCAGAAGGACAACCATCTCTGCAGCAATCCACCAATCAGGCCTTTATGGTAGAGTGGCCAGACGGAAGCCACTCCTCAGTAAAAGGCACATGACAGCCCGCTTGGAGTTTACTAAAAGGCACCTAAAGACTCTCAGACCATGAGAAACAAGATTCTCTGGTCTGATGAAACCAAGATTGACCTCTTTGGCCTGAATGCCAAGCTTCACGTCTGGAGGAAACCTGGCACCATCCCTACGGTGAAGCATGGTGGTGGCAGCATCATGCCGTGGGGATGTTTTTCAGCGGCAGGGACTGGGAGACTAGTCAGGATCGAGGGAAAGATTAACGGAGCGAAGTACAGAAAGATCCTTGATGAAAACCTGCTCCAGAGCGCTCAGGACCTCAGACTGGGGCGAAGGTTCCCCTTCCAACAGGATAACGACCCTAAGCACACAGCCAAGACAATGCAAGAGTGGCTTCGCAACAAGTTTCTGAATGTCCTTGAGTGGCCCAGCCAGAGCCCGGACATGAACCCGATCAAACATCTCTGGAGAGACCTGAAAATAGCTGTGCAGCGACGCTCCCGATCCAACCTGACAGAGCTTGAGAGGATCTGCAGAGAAAACTGGGAGAAACTCCCCAAATACAAGTGTGCCAAGCTTGTAGCGTCATACCCAAAAAGACTCGAGACTAATCGTTGCCAAAGGTGCTTCAACAAAGTACTGAGTAAAGGGTCTGAAAACGTATGTAAATGTGATATTTCATTTTTTTATTTGTAATACAAACCTGTTTTTGCTTTGTCATTATGGGGTATTGTGTGTAGGTTGATGAGGGGGAAAAAAACATTTTCATCCATTTTAGAATAAGGCTGTAAGTCAAGGGGTCTGAATACTTTTCGAATGCACTGTATTTCTAGGAGTATAATATAGGGAAATTGAAACCATTTAAGTGTGAGTGCTCACCTTGGCCCTGGACAATGTGACCCTTGTCCTCCTCCTCTTCCATCCTCCCTCCATCTCTCTCTGTCCGTCAGGGTGTGGCTTCTCCACGGTGCATGGAGGCCCGCCCCCAGACACCATGGCCGCCGCCCCCTCCTCCTCCCTCGGGATCCTGGTCAGACTCTGGTTGGCTCTGGGCCCGCTCAGGCTTGGGGTTGGGAGTGCAGGGAGGGTCAGCGTGCTGGACAGACATGGTTCTCCTCAGGTGGGTGCGTTTACACAGGAAGTCAGGTTTGGCAGAGAGGCCGAAGGAGCCTTTCCTTAGGACCATGCGGACCGAGGAGGTCTTCTTGGGTCTGGCCCGGTGGCCAAACTGCAGTGAGGAGAGGTGCACTGCATAGCCATCACTTAGAAACTATGAGATAGAGAGAGAGAGAGAGAGAGAGAGAGAGAGAGGCCATGTTAGATAAAATAATCGAAGATTAAACAGGTAGAGAGAGATGGAGAGTGACAGGAATGAACAAAAGCCACAGACAGACCAGAATAGATACATCAAAACACGATCAATAGCTATTAGTGAGTCAATGCCATTAGCTTGATCGATAAAGAAAAGTAGAAGAGGAGTGTACAGTCCCCTGATGTCTACCTGGCATTGATTCTGGTACTTCTTGGAAGGCCTGCCCACAATATAAATCTGGGAAGGACTCAGACCCAGCATGTTGTACACAGAGATGTCCTTCATGGAGCCGTATGCTGAGTTGATCTTAATGGACACTGGCAGAGGAGAGAGAGAAAAAGAGGGGGGGAAGAGAGGGGGGAAGGAAAAGGAAAAAAAAGGGGGGGGGGTGGGAAAAAAAGGGGGGGAAAGGGGAGGGGGAGAGAGAAAAAAGGGAGGGGAGATAAAAGGGAAGGAGAAAAGGGAAAAACCAAAAAAGGGGGGGGAGAGGGAGGGGGCGGGGGGGGGGCCGGATGGGAAGGAGGAGAAGAGAGGGGGAGAAGGGGAAGGGGGAGGAGAGGGAAGTGAAAGGAGGGGGAAGGGGGAGACCAGAGAAAAAAATTGGGACGAGAAGGATGAAGGGGGGGGGTTTAGAGGAACGGGGGGGAGGGAAAAACCCCAAAGGGAAAGGGAAGGAAAAACGAAAAAGGAGAGAGGAAAAACGGGGGAGAAAGGGAGAAGAGGGAAGGAGAAAGGGAGGAGGGGAGAGGGGGGAGGGGAAGAAGAGGGAGGGAAAAAAATTGAAAAAGGGCGAGAGAAAAGGGGGGAAGGGAAGGGGCCGAAGAGAGAGGGGAGGGGGAAGGAGGGGGAGAGGAGAGAGGGAGGAGAGAGGGGAAAAGAGAGAAAAGGGGAAATGAGGAAAAGGGGCAAAAACGGGAGGGGGAGAGGGGAGAGGAGAGAGAGAGGGGGAAAGGGGGGGGAGCGGGGGGGGTGAGAGGGGGAAGGGGAAGGAAAAAGGGGGGGAGAGGGGGAGAGACGAGGAGGGGGGGAAGAGGGGACGAGGAGAGGAGAAAAGGGGAAAAAACAAAAAACGGAGGAGAGGGGGAGGGGGAAGAGGGGGGAGAGGGGAGAGAGAGGGGGGGAGGGGAGAGACAAAGGGGGGGGGGGAAAAAAAAAAACACTTTTATCCCAGGCGACCAGAGGTTATTTTTTGTGATAAAAAAGCACTGTGAAAAAACCAAGGAAAGTTGCGTGGTAATAGAGGAGGGAGGGGGAGGGGAGAGAGAAGGAGAGAAAGAAAAACAGGAAGAGATACACAAAGAGAAGGAGTCGAGATAGAGAGAATGAAAAAGAGATCCACTGTATTATGAATGTGTTGTACCTCCTGCACTAGGTTCCTGAGGAAGATGGTTTTCTGTCTCAGTGGGTCATGGACCAGGCCCTCAGAGAAGAAGATCATGCCCTGGGGGAAGTTGTGTTGGGACAGCCATGACACCACGCGCTGCTTCTGCATGTCTGGCCTCCCTGTGATGTAGATGATAAGATAGCCCAAGTCCTGCCAGTGTCTGGACACAAAGATAAATAGATACATTCCTCTGAGAATTATCATTTTCACTGAACATAAAGACAGATTGACATCAATAATATTCCTCTGAGATTTATGGTTTATTTTCTTCTTTTTTTCAGTCATCTTTGTTTTCTCCCTTCATGTATTAAAGGAATACTTCAGAATCTTTAGCAATGAAGCCCTTTATCTACTTCCCCAGAGTCAGATGAACTCGTGGATACATTATTTATGTATCTGTGTCCAGTTTGAAGGAAGTTAAAGGTACAGTGCATTCAGAAAGTATTCAGACCCCTTTACTTTTTCCACATTTTGTTACATTACAGCCTTATTCTAAAATTGATGAAATTATTTTTTCCCCCCTCATCAATCTACACACAATACCCCATAATGACAAAGCAAAAACAGTTTTTTTGAATTTCTGGCAAGTGTATTAAAAATAAAAACCTGAAATATCACATTTACATAAGTATTCAGACCCTTTACTCAGTACTTTGTTGAAGCTCCTTTGGCAGCGATTACAGCCTCGAGTCTTCTTGGGTATGATGCGACAAGCTTGGCACACCTGTATTTGGGGAGTTTCTCCCATTCTTCTCTGCAGATCCTCTCAAGCCGCTGCACAGCTATTTTCAGGTCTCTCCAGAGATGTTCGATCGGGTTCAAGTCCGGGCCACTCAAGGACATTCAGAGATTTGTCCCGAAGCCACTCCTGCGTTGTCTTGGCTGTGTGCTTAGGGTCGTTGTCCTATTGGAAGGTGAACCTTCGGCCCAGTCTGAGGTCCTGAGCGCTCTGGAGCAGGTTTTCATCAAGGATCTCGCTCCATTCATCTTTCCCTCGATCCTGACTAGTCTCCCAGTCAAACATCCCCACGGCATGATGCTGCCACCACCATGCTTCACCGTAGGGATGGTTCCAGGTTTCCTCCTGAAGTGATGCTTGGCATTCAGGCCAAAGAGGTCAATCTTGGTTTCATCAGACCAGAGAATCTTGTTTCTCATAGTCTGAGTCCTTTAGGTGCCTTTTGGTAAACTCCAAGCGAGCTGTCATGTGCATTTTACTGAGGAGTGGCTTCCGTCTGGCCACTCTACCATAAAGGCCTGATTGGTGGATTGCTGCAGAGATGGTTGTCCTTCTGGAAGGTTCTCCCATCTCCACAAAGGAACTCTAGAGCTCTGTCAGAATGACCATCGGGTTCTTGGTCACCTCCCTGACCAAGGCCCTTCTCCCCTGATTGCTCAGTTTGGCCGGGCGGCCAGCTCTAGGAAGAGTCTTGCTGGTTCCAAACTTCTTCCATTTAAGAATGATGATGGAAGCCACTGTGTTCTTGGGGACCTTCAATGCTGCAGAATTTTTTTGGTACCCTGCCAAAGGTCTGTGCCTCGACACAATCCTGTCTCAGAGTTCTACAGACAATTCCTTAGACCTCATGGCTTGGTTTTTGCTCTGACATGCACTGTCAACTGTTGGACCTTATATAGACAGGTGTGTGCCTTTCCAAATCATGTCCAATCAATTGAATTTACCACAGGTGGACTCCAATCAAGTTGTAGAAACATCTCAAGGATGATCAACGGAAACAGGATGCACCTGAGCTCAATTTCGAGTCTCATAGCAAAGGGTCTGAATACTTATGTAAATAAGGAATTTCAGTTTTTAATTTTTTATAAATTCGCAAACATTTCTAAAAACCTGTTTTTGCTTTGTCATTATGGGGTATTGTGTGTAGATTGATGAGGATTTCTTTTTATTTAATCCATTTTAGAATAAGGCTGTAAAGTAACAAAATGTGGAAAAAGTAAAGGGGTCTGAATTCTTTCCGAATGCACTGTAGGTTTGCGAACAAATGCTAACTAGCGTTAGCACAATGACTGGAAGTCTACAGCTGTTCATGTAGACTTCCAGTCATTGCGCTAACGCTAGTTAGCAATTGCGCTAATTCTAGTTAGCAATTATGCTAACACTAGTTAGCAACTTCCTTCAAACTCCCTTTAATGTGACAAAATACAAGGATAATATTCTGAGCTGAACAGATGACTTGTTGGCGTTGTAATTTAGTTAGTATTTTTATTCCATTAATAATTTATCTCTGCTCGAACTGCTCCTTAATCAAACAAAAGCTGGAAGGCACATTCACATTCACAAACACACACACAAACACTCGCACGCACGCATGCACACACACACACACTTGGAGGCATGAGTTACCTGACGACATCCACAGCTCCGGGGCGGACTTTAGGGTCACTGCCCATAATGGAGACGCTAGCAGCGAAGGAGCCATCGATGCTGAACACCACACACTCCATCCCCCTGGGCAGCACCGTCAGGTAGGCCTCCGCACTCGTCTGATCTCCCCTGGGTAGAAAGAGGTAAAGAGAGGGGAGAGGGGGGAGGATGATTGCTAGGTATGGTGGCAATTCACAGCCGCAGCAGCTCTGGGGCTCCTTGTTATTCAACAACCTGTGAGTACACTGTTAGAGCTTCACAGTACTTTACCACCATCACTGATATGGGCCATAATTACATTTAGTATTCCTCCACTTTCATGGGAACTCGTCCCAACCCGCATCCATTTCATTACTGATACAACCTCTAACATACTGTAACAAATATTCTGTGGTTGCATCTCAATAAGAAATGAAAAGGAGTTATTTGCTTACTTGACCACCATTTTGATAGGGTAGACCCCGGTGGCCAGCTTTTTGCTCTTGGGGATGGTGTAAACCACTCTGCCACTACTGGTGGTCACCTCCGTGTCAAAGTGGACCCAGCGGCCGGACTGGGGCTGGGTCATCAGGAGAATGTCCACCTGGGAGAGGACAAGATAGATTCATGATAAGATAAGATGATAAGATAACAAATGCTCAGGGCAGCAATTAAATCCCTTCAATAAACTTCAGTGTTGACGTCTGTCAAAGCAAATTCCTTTGTCAGACCACTATAAGAGAAGTATCAATTTCACTTTATTGAAATGCAGACACTTTAAAAGTGTTGCAACTATAGTGTTGTAAATAGTGCAAATAGTGTTTGCAAATGATGCAAAAAGGTTCAGGAATAATGTTTATGTCGTGTCGTCACCTTCTCTCCAGTCAGAGTCACCATGTCCAGGGGGCCATACATGAACCGACCAACCAGAGTCTGTGGTCCCTCCTCTGTGGCGATGACATCATTCACCCTGTGGTTGCCAGTCACATTCTGCATGAGGAGAAGAGATTTACTGTAACTTCTCTTTGCCTTTGTGTGCGTCCCAAATGGCACCCTACACTCTTAGAAAATCTAAAAAGGAGAACCCTTTGAAGAACCATTTTTGGTTCCAGATAGAACCCTTTTGGGTTCATGTAGAATCCTTTCCACAGACGGTTCTACATTGAACCGAAAAGGGTTCTACCTGGAAACAAAAAGGGTTGTACCTGGAACCAAAAAGGTTTACCCTATGGGGAAAGCCAAATAACTCTTTTGGAACCCTTTTTTCTAAGAGTATATTACGTATATTTACATTTACATTTAAGTCATTTAGCAGACGCTCTTATCCAGAGCGACTTACAAATTGGTGTATATGGTGCCCTACTTTTGACCAGAGACCTATGATCCCTGGTCAAATGTAATGCACTATAAAGGGAAATACCTACTCAGTTGTACAACTGAAATATCTTCCGCAATTAACCCAACTCCTCTGAATCAGAGAGGTGCGGGGGCTGCCTTAATTGACATCTACGTCATCGGCGCCCGAGGAACAGTGGGTTAACTGCCTTGCTCTGGGGCAGACTCTGTATGTCTTTCATTATTTTCTGCATCACTCCTCCTCAGACATAGTGTTTACATCGGCAGGAGGAAATGGGATGTCAAAGGAAGGATGAAAAATCTGGATTATCTTGGCAAAGAGAAATGCTCACAAACAAGGATGTAAACAAATTTGTGCACAACATTTGAGAGAAATACACCTTTTGTGCATATGGAACATTTTTTATTTAACTAGGCAAGTCAGTTAAGAACAAATTATTATTTACAATGACAGCCTACCCCGGCCAAACCCGGACGACGCTGGGCCAATTATGCACCACCCAATCACTGCCATATTGTGATACAGCCTGGAATCGAACCAGGGTCTGTAGTGACGCCTCTAGCACTGAGATGCAGTGCGTTAGACCGCTGCGCCACTCGGGATCTTTTATTTCAGCTCATGAAACATGGGACCAACACTTTACATGTTGCGTTTATATTTTTGTTCAGTGTAGGATCGGCTCAGAAGCGTGATATCATAAATCACAAATCTCGTTTTATGAGCATAAGGCAATGTATGCATGGATGTTTGTCTTATCCATTAAATATGGTTTATTAAATACTAAACAGTAACCCTACAATAGGCCTAGTTATAACAAACATGTAGCCAATCTAGTTCTTTAATTGGCTTCAACATGGAAATATTCGACTACACACATTGCATTCGCATTTGGAAAATGCACTGCATGTTCGAGCCATGGACAATTGGACATTGCCCAAACGTTATAATAAGATAAGCCTACCATCACCGTTGATATGGCCCACGTGAAAGGTAAACAAATGAACTGGCAAATAGCCTAGGCTACAAGTGGATATAGCACCAAGGACAGTGATTGGAATTCCCGTGATTTGACTGTTAATTCCAACAGATGAAAGTGGAAGATGCAATTTTTTTACAAACTGATGAAGGAAAACAATAAGCAGTCTATTGTAATAACTTGATGTTCCTAAACAAACTTCCTACAGTCACTGAAACCTTTCATTCAATGGACATCGCACATATGCCTAATGAAGAACAAGCTGCATGCTCGTGATATAATAAAACATTGGTTATAGGCTACTGATTAGGCTACTGCGCTTCCGATGGCAAAATCGACGCCATAACCAATTGCATTACCGCTAAGACCAGCTTTTGGTCAGTCTTAAATATCACCAGTAGTGCTGATTGAAATTGGCACATTGGCGCACGTTTTTAAGGACACACCTTCAATATTTCCACCCCTCCCACCTCAGCGCAAGTGAGCTGATATAAGACAGATAAATGACCAATCCTAGCAGAGTACTTGCTTTTACAAGTCACAATTGCCAAAGAGAGTGAGTTAGACACTAGCGCTGCCTTAACGCCAGCTGAAAATAGAGCCCTATTCTTCAATGTATCCCTGTTTTGATGTATCACATTTGAGACGTGTGTCGAAGGAGTCTCAGAAGTGTGCACTACAGGACCTTACCAAAAGAGGGTGTCAAATCTCCATGAAGCCTGGCTACAATAGCAGTGTGGTTCTGCTTCCCCTTCTCATTTCAAAGAGCAGGATGAATAAACCTAAAGAAGAAATCCTCTAACTCTATGCTTCCATCCCAAATGGCACCCTATTCTATATGTAGTGCACACTACTTTTGACCATGGCCAATATGGCTCTAGTCAAAAGTATTGCACTACATAGGGAATAGTGTTCCATTTGGGACACAAACCAACTTTATTGCTAGGCTGGTGAGATATTCATGAGAATTGAAAGCAGAGGAGTTTGCAGATGAATTTCCCTGGCTCTGTTACAGCAATGCCAGCAATACCTCAGTCATAACATAAGTCATAACCACAGGTGGTTGGTGATAGAGTAATTGGGGATGGGTTTGACTGAAGGAAACTTTCAGGAACACTTAAAGGGCTGTGGTGCAGTAGCATCTGTACATGAAGGGCTCTATTTTAACAAACCTAACACAATGGTACATTTTTGCGCTGGCGGTAGCGCTATAGGTTAGGGGGTGTGTCTGAAATATTTATGCTATTTTCACAACCGGAATTATGGGAGCAGTAGCTGGAGGTGGCGCGAAAGGGCTGGGTTTTGATGAATAAACAAGTTGTGGGTGTGTCGAGGATTGACGCCTCACTGGCCAGTCAGAACATGCTCAATGGCTAAATATGTGGTTGCTTCAAGTTGTGTATTTACGTATTGCATTGTCATCAACTCCAATTCGAATGTTAGTCCGCTATAGCCTAGTTTGTTAAATAGCCAGCCCCATATTTGCTAAATATATTGAACACGTTTGCAGTCCACATTGTTCTAATTGTATTGCTTCAATATGGAATTACATTGTTAAACATAGGCTATAGCATTCACACTGATATAGGGGCTAAGGCCTACTGTAAATTGCAGTCTGGACATGGACATGCCAAACGTAGTCAATAAGCAAGATACAATTCACTAGGCTACTGATAAGGCCTAAAAAGTGTATAATTCTAATAAAAAATGAAATAAAAGAAACAACAACTTGTTTTAAATAGGCTATGTCTAACTAAAGTTACAGGCACCATAATTGCTCCTTGTGGGCGTATAATACAGACAAGGTTACTTAGACTATGGAGGGTTTTACGCACATCCAAACTTTTCACAGGAGCTGGATAAAGATCCAATATAAAGAGAAAGCTGTTATACTGCTCCCAAATGTCATGTTTTATAAACATCATGAAACCATCTTCTTCTGAAATAGCAGACGAAATTGCATTGCATTCGAGCCACGTACGTTTTCGCAACCTAAACCCATGGATGGTGAATCTTTCTAGTAAGTTTGGTTTCTAATCAAAGTAAACGGAAAACAATCAATCTGTTTTTTAAAACAACAATATTTCTAAATATACTAAACAAAAATATAAACGCAACATGCAACAATTTCAAAGATTTTATTGAGTTACAGTTCATATAAGGAAATCAGTCAATTGAAATAAATAGATTAGGCACTAATTAATGGATTTCACCTGACTGGGAATAAAGATATGCCTCTGTAGGTCACAGATACCTTAAAAAAATGGGCCTCACAATGGGCCTCATGATCTCGTCACGTTATCTCTGTGCATTCAAATTGCCATCGATAAAATGCAATTGTGTTCATTGTCCATAGCTTATGCCTGCCTGCCCATACCATAACCCCACCACCACCATGGGGCACTCTGTTCACAGACCGCTCACCCACACGACGCCATACACGTGGTCTGCGGTTGTGAGGCCGGTTGGACGTACTGCCAAATTCTCTAAAACAACGTTGGAGGCAGATTATGTGTCACGGTTTCGGCCGAGGCTGCCTCTCTTCCTTGCTCGGGCAGGCTTCGGCGTTCGTCGTCTCCGGAATACTAGCTGCCACCGTTGCATGTTTCTATGTTCGTTTGCTTTTGTCTGATTGTTGTTACACCTGTTATCGTTTAGTGTAATTAGTGTCCTATAAGTTCTCGTTGTGTTTGTCTAGTGTTGTGTGTTATTGTTTTACTGTCGTGCCGGTAGGCTGTTATTCTACTGTTTGCGCGGTTGAGCTATTTCTCCATATTGTTTGGAGTGTTTTGTCGCACCTGTTAGTGCGCCCGTTATTTTCGCCTACGTGCGGAGTTTTCGCCTCAGGGCATTTATTCGTGATTGTTTTTGTGTGCATCTACTAAAGTCTGTTGGACTAACGTTCTGCGTCCTGCGCCTGATTCCACCACCACACCCACCTACATCTACCTTGACATTATGGTAGAGAAATTAACATTCAATTCTCTGACAACAGCTCTGGTGAACATTCCTGCAGTCAGCATGCCAATTGCACGCTCCCTCAAAACTTGAGACATCTGTGCCATTGTTTTGTGTTGGTGCACCCGTGTAATGATCATGCTGTTTAATCAGCTTCTTGATATGCTACATCTGTCAGGTGGATGGATTATCTTGGCAAAGAGAAATGCTCACTAACAGGGATGTAAACAAATTTGTGCACAACATTTGAGAGAAATACACCTTTTGTGCATATGGATTTTATTTTATTTAAATACGCAAGTCAGTTAAGAACCAATTCTTATTTACAATGACAGCCTACCCCGGCCAAACCCGGACGACGCTGGGCCAATTGTGCACCGCCCTATGGGACTCCCAATCACAGCCGGATTGTGATACAGCCTGGAATCAAACCAGGGTCTGTAGTTATGCCTCGAGCACTGAGATGCAGTGCCTTAGACCGCTGCGCCACTCGGGATCTTTTATTTCAGCTCATGAAACATGGGACCAACACTTTACATGTCGCGTTTATATTTTTGTTCAGTGTAGGATCGGCTCAGAAGCGTGATATCATAAATCACAAATCTCGTTTTATGAGCATAAGGCAATGTATGCATGGATGTTTGTCTTATCCATTAAATATGGTTTATTAAACACTAAACAGTAACCCTACAATAGGCCTAGTTATAACAAACATGTAGCCAATCTAGTTCTTTAATTGGCTTCAACATGGAAATATTCGACTACACACATTGCATTCGCATTTGGAAAATGCACTGCATGTTCGATTCATGGACAATTGGACATTGCCCAAATGTTATAATAAGATAAGCCTACCATCACCGTTGATATGGCCCACGTGAAAGGTAAACAAATGAACTGGCAAATAGCCTAGGCTACAAGTGGATATAGCACCAAGGACAGTGATTGAATTCCCGTGATTTGACTGTTAATTCCAACAGATGAAAGTGGAAGATGCAATTTTTTTACAAACTGATGAAGGAAAACAATAAGCAGTCTATTGTAATAACTTGATGTTCCTAAACAAACTTCCTACAGTCACTGAAACCTTTCATTCAATGGACATCGCACATATGCCTAATGAAGAACAAGCTGCATGCTCGTGATATAATAAAACATTGGTTATAGGCTACTGATTAGGCTACTGCGCTTCCGATGGCAAAATCGACGCCATAACCAATTGCATTACCGCTAAGACCAGCTTTTGGTCAGTCTTAAATATCACCAGTAGTGCTGATTGAAATTGGCACATTGGCGCACGTTTTTAAGAACACACCTTCAATATTTCCACCCCTCCCACCTCAGCGCAAGTGAGCTGATATAAGACAGATAAATGACCAACCCTAGCAGAGTACTTGCTTTTACAAGTCACAATTGCCAAAGAGAGTGAGTTAGACACTAGCGCTGCCTTAACGCCAGCTGAAAATAGAGCCCTAAGTATCTAATGAAACCTGACATGCTTTTTGGGGCATTTCTGAGCATAATTGATGTCACAGAAAATCACAGTGTTACCAAATGGTACATCGTTTATTGTACATGAACTACCACATCATATGCAGCGGAACTGTATATAGGTCTCCATAATACTCTTAAAATATAGCTCCAGGAGCATAGTTTGAGCACACTAACATATGGTGTAGACTGATGTGATAGTCTCTGTATCATGAATAGTGGGACCCCAGCTAATGTCAGCTAATGAAGCAGTTAAACATTTCCAGACACAACACAATTTGCATATTGATTAAGTTTGTCAATAATGAATCCTTGCCAGTACCTAGCCATGCTGAAGTTGTGGCATCTCAGCATGCCGTACACACACACACACACACACACACACACACACACACACACACACACACACACACACACACACACACACACACACACACACACACACACACAGAGAGAGAGAGACTTCTAAACACTGGCACGTCTACAGCACTGTCTACTGCTGTGAATAGGCTGAAAGGCCAGATTGATTCTAATATCTGGCCAGTGGCCACATGTCTCTGCTACAGGTCACTGCCGAATCTTTCTGCATGAATGCCTGTCTTATGACAAAATAGCAGAACATATCGCTATCACACCGGGTGAGTGGTGAGTTCACCTTGCCCTCAGACACACACACACTGAGAGGAGGAGATGGTGAAGAGAGGCAGGCCCCTGTCTTCCTGGTCACAGCGGTGCTCAGGAAGCAGCATAGACAGCAGTGGCCCCACTCCATCAGTGACAAAAAGCCCCTTCCTCGGAGAGTGAACTGAAGTCACAGCGTCACAGACGCCAGGCAGGCAACTCTGAATGGTATCACGATCCCCTGGATGAGCTGGCAGAGCCCAGATGAAGTCTATACATGGCACCAGGAGACTGTATAGCAATACAGCTATAACAAATATCATATTCAGGTCATGTTCTCCAAGCTGCTCCTCCTCCAGCTGTTCCTACTCTACCACTTACACAAGAGACACAGATCACAGGCTTGGAGGCTGGAGCAGTGCATGTAAGACACAGTCCAAAAATAAAACCTATGGCAAGTTTCCTTAAATATACTGTATATGTTCCAGTGGGCCACACAGTACATAATATAACAGGACAAAAGCCCATTGTTATTGAATTATTTCCTTTGAATATACTGTGACTAAAAGATGGCCCAGAAATAGACTGGGCTGACCTTTCAGCCTGGCAGTAGTCTTGGTGTCTTTTATGCTGGAGCGTCAGGTAATTGTGTTGTTGTGCTAGCATCGATGATCCAAGGTGAAACACTGAGTCTTTTTTCAAACATTCAGGTCTCAGCCCACACAATGACACACAAGCAACAATTGCACAAGATTGCAGAAGCTCTTCACCCATTCAGTGTTGGTGTATTTTTTTGTTATAGGAGACCAAGGCTATTGAGGCAGAAATTATTAAAGCTGTGAAAAGATGTGTGAAGCTGATGTTAAAAGTGCGTGTGTAAGTGTGTGTGCGTGTGCGCGCGCGTGTGTGTGTGTGTGTGTGCAAGTGCGTGCTCGCGCGACTTAGTGTGTGTGTGTGCGCACGTCCTTATCGCTTTGTCTCTGACTGAGATTCCATTATAAAACGTTTCAACATCTCGAGCAGATTTCAGCTAAAGATGATTAAATATTCATTGGAATTTCTTCATACAGCGATTGAACAGATTATAAGCTGCTTCTTTCTCCAATACACACAGTAGGGTGTGTCCAAAATGGCACCCTATTCTCTATATAGCGCACTTCTTTTATCCAGGGCCCTTGTCAAAACTAGTGCACTATATATATATATATATATATATATATATATATATACAGTGGGGAAAAAAAGTATTTAGTCAGCCACCAATTGTGCAAGTTCTCCCACTTAAAAAGATGAGAGAGGCCTGTAATTTTCATCATAGGTACACGTCAACTATGACAGACAAAATTAGAAAAAGAAATCCAGAAAATCACATTGTAGGATTTTTAATGAATTTATTTGCAAATTATGGTGGAAAATAAGTATTTGGTCAATAACAAAAGTTTCTCAAATGTTGGCAATGACACAGGTCAAACGTTTTCTGTAAGTCTTCACAAGGTTTTCACACACTGTTGCTGGTATTTTGGCCCATTCCTCCATGCAGATCTCCTCTAGAGCAATGATGTTTTGGGGCTGTCGCTGGGCAACACGGACTTTCAACTCCCTCCAAAGATTTTCTATGGGGACCTTGAAATGCTTCTTACGAAGCCACTCCTTCGTTGCCCGGGCGGTGTGTTTGGGATCATTGTCATGCTGAAAGACCCAGCCACGTTTCATCTTCAATGCCCTTGCTGAGGGAAGGAGGTTTTCACTCAAAATCTCACGATACATGGCCCCATTCATTCTTTCCTTTACACGGATCAGTCGTCCTGGTCCCTTTGCAGAAAAACAGCCCCAAAGCATGATGTTTCCACCCCCATGCTTCACAGTAGGTATGGTGTTCTTTGGATGCAACTCAGCATTCTTTGTCCTCCAAACACGACGAGTTGAGTTTTTACCAAAAAGTTCTATTTTGGTTTCATCTGACCATATGACATTCTCCCAATCCTCTTCTGGATCATCCAAATGCACTCTAGCAAACTTCAGACGGGCCTGGACATGTACTGGCTTAAGCAGGGGGACACGTCTGGCACTGCAGGATTTGAGTCCCTGGCGGTGTAGTGTGTTACTGATGGTAGGCTTTGTTACTTTGGTCCCAGCTCTCTGCAGGTCATTCACTAGGTCCCCCCGTGTGGTTCTGGGATTTTTGCTCACCGTTCTTGTGATCATTTTGACCCCACGGGGTGAGATCTTGCGTGGAGCCCCAGATCGAGGGAGATTATCAGTGGTCTTGTATGTCTTCCATTTCCTAATAATTGCTCCCACAGTTGATTTCTTCAAACCAAGCTGCTTACCTATTGCAGATTCAGTCTTCCCAGCCTGGTGCAGGTCTACAATTTTGTTTCTGGTGTCCTTTGACAGCTCTTTGGTCTTGGCCATAGTGGAGTTTGGAGTGTGACTGTTTGAGGTTGTGGACAGGTGTCTTTTATACTGATAACAAGTTCAAACAGGTGCCATTAATACAGGTAACGAGTGGAGGACAGAGGAGCCTCTTAAAGAAGAAGTTGCAGGTCTGTGAGAGCCAGAAATCTTGCTTGTTTGTAGGTGACCAAATACTTATTTTCCACCATAATTTGCAAATAAATTCATAAAAAATCCTACAATGTGATTTTCTGGATTTTTTTTCCTCAATTTGTCTGTCATAGTTGACGTGTACCTATGATGAAAATTACAGGCCTCTCTCATCTTTTTAAGTGGGAGAACTTGCACAATTGGTGGCTGACTAAATACTTTTTTCCCCCACTGTATATATATATGGAATAGGGTGCCATTTCGGACACAGCCATATAATCAACAGTGTGAGGCTAAATGTGATATTGACACTTCCTACTGAATTGTCCTTTATCTTCCATTAATAAGTCATGTTGGTTTCCTCACCCTCAGTTTGACAGGCGTCCTCCTGCGAAGCCACTTCTCCCGTGGGCTGGATGGAGAGAAGGGGGCTGAGTCCTTGGTGTTAGCTTCCTGGGTCTTCACACTGTCGCATCGCATGAGCTACATGAACACACACACACACACGCACACGCACACCACACACACAGCCCATTAATCCACCGCCGGCTTAGTCCACTCAGTATGACGGCACTTCTCAAACAGAATACCTAGTCTGCATTTAGGCACCTGATGCACATTTATCAGTGGAGTGGAATACATACACTAGACAGTCACATGACCTACAGACAAAACAATGACATGGAATATTCATCCTCTGGTGCTCAAACACACTTCAGAGAGAATGAAACTAGGACTGTCATTATCTTGAGGAGTACACAGTCACAGCTGCTAACAGAAGCTAATTTGTCAAGAGGTAGATTGAGGCGTATTAACAGGCTAGCTAGAGGATGATCCGATTTGAAATGTACATTTAATATCAGAAGTTGAGAGAAAAAAACCTGTCTATCTTTAGCCTGATCAATGTGTAGCCAGGTTAATGAAACAGCCGGGCTAATGATGTGTTCCGAAGAGGAGAGGATGGTAAAGGACAGGTCGCAGAGAGAGAAGGAGCTTTACTCCAATCCTGCATTAACGAGATCCCAGTTTAAGATTCAATCTCTTATTACACAGCAATGATGTAAGAATAGGTCATTGATTTCACTAGACCACTAGAGCTTCCGTTAAGTACGGTACAGTAAGTAAATAAAAAGGGCAGTAAGTTTGTGCGATCCATAAGGTCCGTATTGCATTTCCATGATGTGATATCGATTGGAGCTGAAACCCACTGATCCAAGATAACAATCAGTCAGTTTATTATCTTCACGGCAGAGACAGATAACACTTCCTGCAGTGCCTTGCAAAAGTATTCATCCCCCTTGGCGTTTTTCCTATTTTGTTGCATTACAACCTGTAATTTAAATGGATTTCTATTTGGATTTCATGTAATGGATATACACAAAATAGTCAAAATTGGTGAAGTGAAATGAAAAAAATAACTTGTTTCAAAAAATTCTAAAAAATTAATAACGGAAATATGGTGCGTGCACCCCCTTTGCTGTGAAGCCCCTAAATAACATCTGGTGCAACCAATTATCTTCAGAAGTCACATAATTAGTGCAATAAAGTCCACCTGTGTGCAATCTAAGTGTCACATGATCTCAGTATATATGCACCTGTTCTGAAAGGCCCCAGAGTCTGTAACACCACTAAGCAAGGCACACCACCAAGCAAGCGGCACCATGAAGACCAAGGAGCTCTCCAAACAGGTCAGGGACAAAGTTGTGGAGAACTACAGATCAGGGTTGGGTTATAAAAAAATATCAGAAACTTTGAACATCCCATGGAGCACCATTACATCCATTATTAAAAAATGGAAAAAATATGGCACCACAACAAACCTGCCAAGAGAGGGCCGCCCACCAAAACTCACGGACCAGGCAAGGAGGGCATTAATCAGAGAGGCAACAAAGAGACCAAAGATAACCCTGAAGGAGCTGCAAAGCTCCACAGCGGAGATTGGAGTATCTGTCCATAGGACCACTTTAAGCCATACACTCCACAGAGCAGGGCGTTTTATGGAAGAGTGGCCAGAAAAAAGCCATTGCTTAAAGAAAAAAATAAGCAGAAAGAATGTATTCTGGTCAGATGAGACTAAAATTAGCTTTTTGGCCACCAAGGAAAACGCTATGTCTGGCGCAAACCCAACACCTCTCATCACCCCGAGAACACCATCCCCACAGTGAAGCATGGTGGTGGCAGCATCATGCTGTGGGGATGTTTTTCCATCGGCAGGGACTGGGAAACTGGTCAGAATTGAAGGAATGATGGATGGCGCTAAATACAGGGAAATTCTTGAGGGGAAACCTGTTTCAGTCTTCCAGAGATTTGAGACTGGGACGGAGGTTCACCTTCCAGCAAGACAATGACCCTAAGCATACTGCTAAAGCAACACTCAAGTGGTTTAAGGGGAAACATTTACATGTCTTGGAATGGCCTAGTCAAAGCCCAGACCTCAATCCAATTGAGAATCTGTGGTATGACTTAAAGATTGCTGTACACCAGCGGAACCCATCCAACTTGAAGGAGCAGGAGCAGTTTTCCCTTGAAGAATGGGCAAAAATCCAAGTGGCTAGATGTGCCAAGCTTATACAGACATACCCCAAGAGACTTGCAGCTGTAATTGCTCTACAAAGTATTGACTTTGGGGGGGGGTGAATAGTTTTGCACGCTCAAGTTTTCTGTTTTTTTTTGTCTTAGTTCTTGTTTGTTTCACAATAAAAAATATGTTGCATCTTCAAAGTGGTAGGCATGTTGTGTAAATCAAATGATACAAACCCCCCAAAAATCCATTTTAATTCCAGGTTGTAAGGCAACAAAATAGGAAAAATGCCAAGGGGGGTGAATACTTTCGCAAGCCACTGTATTTCCTGTGTACTCTCTGATTCCCCTCACGTCACTCTCCCACCCAAAAGACTGAGGTACCGCAGCAGAAGCAGCCAACACCATGGGTGCATCCCAAATGGGACCTTATTCCCTATATAGTGCACTACTTTTGACCAGAGTCATATGGGCCTTTGTCAAAAGTAGTGCACTATATAGGGAATATGGTGCCATTTGAAACACAACCCCTTACTGTATTGGGAGGCTGCTCTGATCTCTTCTCCTTAAAGTATGTGGACACCCCTTCAAATTCTAGATTTGGCTATTCACCACACCAGTTGCTGACAGGAGTATAAAATTGAGCACATCTCCATAGACAAACATTGGCAGTAGAATGGCCTTACTGAAGAGCTCAGTGACATTCAACGTGGCACCGTCATAGGATGCCACTTTTCCAACAAGTCAGTTCGTCAATTTTCTGCCCTGCTAGAGCTGCCCCGGTCAACTGTAAGTACTGTTATTGTGAATTGGAAACGTCTAGGAGCAACAACGGCTCAGCCGCTGTCACGACTTTCTCCGAAGCTGCCTCCTCTCCTGGTTCAGGCAGGCTTCGGCGTTCGTCGTCACCGGCCTTCTAGCCACTGCCGCTCCTCATCTCATCATTCCATTTGTTTTGTCTTGTTTATTACACACACCTGGTTCATATCCCCTCATCAGTACCTGTATAAGTGTTCCCTCTGCCCCCTTGTCTTTGTGTGTGATTGTTTATTGTGAGGAGAGTGAAGCTTGGTTGAGCTCCTTGTATTTTGTATTGCTGGGTTATTTTCACTGTGTGCCTTGCTGGTTCCAGTGCGCCTGTTTTGCGCACTTGACTGTTTTGACGCATTACTGCGTAACTCTGTCTTCCGGAATAAATTATGTTATTCTGTGATTTACCCTCCTGCGCCTGACTCCTTCAAATCACCCATCACAGCTGCGAAGTGGTAAGCCACACAAGCTCACAGAACGGGACCGCAGAGTGCAAAAAATTGGCTGTCCTCGGTTGCAACACTCACTATCGAGTTCCAAAATGCCCCTGGAAGCAACATCAGTACAATAACTGTTCATCGGGAGCTTCATGAAATGGGTTTCCATGGCCGAGCAGCCGCACACAAGCCTAAGATCACCATGCGCAATGCCAAGCGTTGGCTGGAGTGGTGTAAAGCTCGCCGCCATTGGATTCTGGAGCAGTGGAAACACGTTCTCTGGAGTGATGAATCACGCTTCACCATCTGGCAGTCCGACGGGCGAATCTGGGTTTGGCGGATGCTTGAAGAACGCTACCAGCCCCAACGCATAGTGCCAACTGTAAAGTTTGGTGGAGGAGGAATAATGGTCTGGGGTTGTTTTTCATGGTTCGGGCTCCTTAGTTTCAGTGAAGGGAAATCTTAACGCTACAGCATACAATGACATTCTAGACGATTCTGTGCTTACTACTTTGTGGCAACAGTTTGGGGAAGGCCCTTTCCTGTTTCAGCATGACAATGGCCCCATGCACAAAGCGAGGTCCATACAGAAACGGTTTGTCAAGATCAGTGTGGAAGAACTTGACTGGTCCGCACAGAGCCCTGACCTCAACCCCATCGAACACCTTTGGGATGAATTGGAATGCCGACTATGAGTCAGGCCTAATCGCCCAACATCAGTGTCCGATCTCACTAATGCTCTTGTGGTTGAATGGAAGCAAGTCCCCGCAGCAATGTTCCAACATCTAGTGGAAAGCCTTCCCAGAAGAGTGGAGGCTGTTATAGCAGCAATGGCGGGACCAACTCCATATTAATGCCCATGATTTTGAAATGAGAAGTTAGATGAACAGGTGTCCACATACTTTTGGCCATATAGTGTATCTCATTGCTCTCTAATGGCCAAGTTAAAAGGCTGTCAGTGGTCAGAATGGGTTTTAATTGGACACTCACTCCGTGAGTGTCTGAAAATACCACGAGCAGACCCACACACACCGCCTACATACACATAATACAAGCGCACACAAACCCTCACACACACATATGCATGCAGGCATGCAAACACGCACAACCACAATCCACAGCACAAATAATGCCTGTTGGTATACAGTATCTGAATTCTAGTTTCAATAGTCACGAGAACCACAAAGACACACACACACACATACAGTAATAGTCAAAAGTTTGGACACACCTACTCATTCAAGGATTTTTCTTAATTTTTACTATTTTCTACATTGTAGAATAATAGTGAAGACATCAAAACTATAAAATAACCCATATGTAATCATGTAGTAACCAAAAAAGTGTTAAACAAATCCAAATATATTTGAGATTTGAGATTCTTCAAAGTAGCCACCCTTTGCTTTGATGACAGCTTTGCACACTCTTGGCATTCCCTCAACCAGCTTCATGAGGTAGTCACCTGGAATGCATTTCAATTAACAGGTGTGCCTTCTTAAAAGTTAATTTGTGGAATTTCTTTCCTTCTTAATGTGTTTGAGACAATCAGTTGTGTTGTGACACGGTAGAGGTGGTATACAGAAGATAGCCCTATTTGGTAAAAGACCAAGTCCATATTATGGCAAGAACAGCTCAAATAAGCAAAGAGAAACAACAGTCCATCATTATGGTACTGTACATATGGGGGTCTTACCTGTCGGAGCACAAACGCAGCTACATCAGTGGACTCCCAGTAGGAGGCATGGAAGAGATGAGGCAGTGCCACGGTGGGGAAGGAGGTCAACACGTCTGGACAGTACAGAGCATAGTCCAACCTCTTAGAGCCCCACCAGCTACTGGAAACTGAGGCGCACACACACACACACGCACACACACACAGAGAGAGAGAGAGAGAGAAACACACAGAAGGGAGAGAATGAACACAGGACTATCAAGATAATAAGGTTTTCTTGGAGTTATTTGAAGTGATTTGTGGGTACTAATGGTAATATTCATATGGTCTTTTAGCCACCACAGTATTAACATTAGAAGTAGGTTAATCTGAGGTAAAAGCTGGAGAGGCACAGTTGGATCTCCTTAGTCTGGCTATATGTTCCCACCGTAGATAATTGATTAAATAATGTATAAAGCATAGTTCCAATGTGCCCTTTTGATCTGATCGCTAACGAGCAGTGTCCACCTCTCTCTCTCTCCTGTCTCTCTTTCATTCTCTCTCCCACTCACTGTTGGTGATGGTGCTACTCATCCGGCCCACAGAGCAGAAGGATGTCTCACTGTCCACGCTGGTCACACTGGCCCTGCGCCCTCCTCCTCCTCCTCTTCCTCCCTTCCCACTGCTGTCTGTCTCAGGGGAAGGGGGCAAGGTCGGGGCACCAGGACTGGGCTCTGCCTCAAGGAACACCTCTGGGTGGCTTTGGATACTGTCAGCTAGAATGAGAGCGGGACAGAGAGAAAGAGAGAGAGAGACAGAGGGAGAGAGCAGTAGAAAGAGTGAGAGAGGGAGAGGGAGGGAGAGTTTAATCATATAACAATGGACTAGTAATTTTCTCTGTGAATCAATACTGTTACATGGTCTAATAGGAGAGTATGTGGTATTGGCTTGTTTCGCGTGTCCTAGAGGAAAGCCTTGGACACACACACAGTGTCAGGTAATTAGGTTGGGCTTGTGATGATCCAGGGATTGTGACCGATGGTGATGACCAATCAACACACCCAACCCCAGGAGCTGAGAGAGAGAGGTCAGTGAGGGAAACTGTAAACAACTACATTACCTAGTTACTCATCACCCTGTATGTTTGGATGGATGTGTTTGTTTTGTCCCCCCACATTACAGCCATTGTTTGCTCTGTAGACCTGTAGATGGAAGAAGGAAACGTGTATTTCCCCTGTGATATATATGGTTGTATCAGAGAACATGGACCTGTCTCTACAAGACATGGCATCGTAGTAGCAGATCACATCAATAATATAACTTTTAGAGAGACAAGTGACCGCTCCCTCTGTTCAATGATACATTTATGTTGAACTTCACAGGAGCCTTTCTGGAATAAAGAAGGAGAGCGGGAGGGAGAGAGAGTGCGAGTAAGAGGTAGGACTGGTGGAGTTATGTCACACATGCAGCTAACAAAAACATATGGAAATGTCTGCTCTACCCAAAATTATAACCAAATAATTGCAGCATTACCGCAAAAATGGAAGAGGAAAGTGGAAGGGGAAAAAAGTAAGGAACTTGTATGTCGGCCCTACATTAAAGAACATAATTGGTTAAAGAAAATTGTGATAAATAAAAAAGTATACCAGTTTCATTTAAGGACCAAAGGATTGACAGCTGTCCCATATAGATTGCAAAATAGTTGGGAAGAGATTTTTGACGTACCGATTCCATGGCATAGTGTTTATGAACTGATACGCAAAACGACGCCGGATTCAAAACGTATAAATGTTCAATTTAAATTATTATACAAAATTCTTGCTACCAATATAATGTTATTTATATGGGGGATACAATCTTCCCAGCTCTGCAGATTTTGTTGCGAAGATGTAAGGGATCGGGGGTTGGCTGGGTCTAGACAGAGTCTGACACTTCCCCGATCTACAGAGAGGGGGAGTCATCAGACTCGATCTGGTTCACCTGAGTTCTGAGCACACCTGTCCGTAATTAGGGTAGGATATAAGGTGTGCTCAGAAGTTCAGTCGGTGCGAGGTATTGTTCCATTGTGACTTGCTAAGCGTTTTGTCCCGAGAGAGAGAGAGTGTTTGTTGTTTTTGATTACCCGTGTACCCGACCTGCGCCTTGTTGTTTGACTCCCCGAATTGCTTAATCCTCTGCTTGTCTACCCCAGTGATTACCGTCCTTTGATCCTGTGCCTGTGCCCTCGACTACGACTAAGCCCGCTCCCTTGGTACCTCTGCCTGTCTATGCCTGGCCCGGTTTTGACCACAGCCCGCCCGACCACGATTAAGCTATTCCCTTGTCTGTACTCTAATAAAGCATCGCTATTCTGCGATTGGATCTTACCACTCTGTCCGAGTATTCATTATAGAATACCTCGCCATTACCATGGATCCAGCGGAATTACAGAGGCGATGGGAGATACAGGAGAAACGGATGGATGAACTCCTGCAGCTACTCAACGCTGGTGCGGCTGAAGTCACCACCCCGAGCACGGTCAGTCCTCGTCATGCACCTCCGATTTCTCTACCGACAAGGTACGACGGGGAACCTGGCAAATGTCAGGGGTTTCTACTCCAGACGTCCCTGTATCTGTCGTATAATCGTACTATGTTTTCCGATGACCGTAGCAGGGTGGATTTCATGATTTCTCTGCTAACGGGAAGAGCACTGGATTGGGCTACTGCGCTTTGGGCAGCTGAGGTCCCCGAGTTGAATGCGGAAGTTCAGTTCAAGAGACTGTTCCAAGAGGTGTTCGACCACCCAGTATCTGGGCGTAGCGTGGGAGACCAACTATGCGAACTTCGGCAGGGCCGTCGCACAGTAGCCGACTACGCTTTAGAGTTCCGTACTATAGCAGCCGGTAGCGGATGGAGCGAGACTGCTTTGCTCACCGTTTTCCGAAGAGGGCTGCGCAAAGAAGTACAGACTGAGTTGGCTTGTCGGGGAGATATCACTGCGCTACATGAGTTTATCAACATCGCCATCGCTATTGATAATCTGATAGTGCAACACAAGGTATCCACAGTCCGGGAGCCCTCGGTCACTGGTCCTACGCAATCGTCAGAGCGGGGGAGAGAATCTGAGGAGGAACCTATGCAACTGGGACGGTCACCCCTACAGGGTTCGGTGAGACAACAACGTCGGCAAGACGGACTATGCCTGTATTGTGGTCAGTCGGGTCATTTCATTCGGCAATGTCCGTTACGACCAAACCGTACCCCAGAATATCGCCTCGGAACTGCCAAACCGGTGAGTGAGACTCCCGTTTGCAACATCACATCCAAACAAATGTATGTGCCAGTTACCTTATCTGTTGGAGAGAGAGTGCGCAGATTGGAAGGTCTTATCGATTCCGGGGCGGCTGCCAGTTTTATGGATGTGGGTCTCGCTGAGGAATTGGGAGTTCAACTTATCCCAATTCAACCTCCCCTGCGGGTCAACGCGCTAGACGGTGAGCCCATGGGCACTGGGTTCATTACGCACCGTACGGAGGTAATCAAGTTACAAGTGGGCTCCATACACCATGAGAACATCTTTTTTTTTGTCATATCCGCTCCATGGGAGCCGCTAGTTCTCGGTCACCCCTGGCTCGTTACCCATGATCCGGTCATCTCCTGGAAATCTGGCGATATCACGGCTTGGAGTGAGGTATGTAGGGCAGAGTGCCTCAATTTACCTTGCAAGACGTCTACTGTGGAGGATGCGCAGGGTGCGGTGTCTACTGTTGTTCCAACAGAGTACCAGGATTACGCGCAGGTGTTCTCCAAGGAGAGGGCCACCGTGTTACCACCGCATCGGGCCTGGGACTGCGCCATTGATCTGCTATCCGGGGCTACACCTCCTCGCGGTAGAATCTACCCTTTGTCACAGCCGGAACGAGAATCTATGAGCCAGTATATTGATGAGGCACTACAGCAAGGGGCCATTCGCCCATCTACGTCTCCCGCCGCATCCAGTTTCTTCTTTGTTAAGAAAAAGGATGGCGGACTGCGTCCTTGTATAGACTATCGAGGTTTGAACGATATCACCATTAAAAATCGTTACCCTCTTCCTTTGATTCCAGCCTCCCTCGAGCAGGTGGGGCAGGCCTCCATCTACAGTAAACTGGACCTCAGGAGTGCGTACAATCTGGTGCGCATTAGAGAAGGGGATGAATGGAAGACCGCTTTCATCACCCATCGAGGACATTATGAATATTGTGTCATGCCCTATGGACTTACTAACGCGCCCTCTGTGTTCCAGGCGTTCATGAATGACATTTTCAGGGACTTGATTGATCGCTTTGTTATAGTGTATATTGATGACATCCTCATCTACTCTAACTCTCTGAGTGAACATGTGTCCCATGTACGACAGGTTCTGGACCGACTCCGACAACACTCTCTGTTCGTGAAGGCCGAAAAGAGTGAATTCCATGTCACTACGATTTCCTTCCTTGGGGCCATACTCACTCCCGACGGGGTAAAACTGGATGAAGGCAAGGTGCAAGCTGTACGAGACTGGCCTCAACCCCAGACGGTGAAGGAGCTCCAGAGATTCTTAGGGTTCGCCAATTACTATAGACGGTTTGTGCGTAATTTCAGCACAACCGCAGCTCCCCTGTCGGCGATGACCAGCTACAAGGGTCGTGGTCTGAAATGGACGGAAGGGGCAGTGCGGGCTTTCGAGACGTTGAAACAACGCTTTACCACCGCTCCCATTTTATGTCAGCCGGATCCTACCTTGCCGTTTATCGTGGAGGTGGACGCCTCGGAGGTTGGAGTGGGAGCCGTGCTATCCCAGCGCCAAGGTGAGCCGCCTAAATCACGACCCTGTGCTTTTTTTCCAAGAAGCTGAATCCGGCCGAGCAGAACTACGACGTGGGAAATCGGGAATTACTGGCGGTGAAGTTAGCACTGGAGGAGTGGAGACATTGGCTGGAGGGAGCAGATCATCCGTTCCAAGTGCTCACGGACCACCGCAATCTGGAGTATCTTCACAGTGCGAAACGACTGAACTCCCGACAGGCAATGTGGTCTTTATTCTTCAACCGTTTCCAATTCACTGTCTCTTATATTCCCGGATCCAAGAATTGTAAGGCGGACGCGCTTTCCCGACGGTTCGAGCGCGCGGAAAGACCCGTGGAACCAGAACCTATCCTCCCCATGAGTTGCCGTGCTGGTCCTGTGAGGTGGGCTATCGATGACACAATTCAGGAGAGCCTACAAGCGGAACCAGCCCCTCCAGAAACCCCGGTGTCTAAGGTGTTTGTACCAGCTCCCCTTCGACCTCAACTGATGGAATGGTGCCACACGTCTCTGGGATCTGGTCATCCCGGAATCACTCGAACTACACGACTCATCAGCCGAAAATACTGGTGGGATTCCCTCACAGATGACGTCAGAGACTATGTCTTATCCTGTCCAGTATGTGCTCAGTCCAAGGTACCTCGTGCACTACCGGAGGGTAAGCTGATGCCATTGCCAACTCCTCAACGACCCTGGTCGCACATTGCAATGGACTTTGTTACCGACCTACCAGAATCAGAGGGCCATACTGTAATTCTCGTGGTCATCGATCGTTTCTCCAAGATGTGCCAGTTAGTGCCCATGACCCGTTTGCCTAACGCCACTCAGATGGCTGAGACTATGTTTACCCAGGTGTTCCGGCAGTTTGGTGTCCCG